TGGCCGGCCAGACACGCCTATTTTTCTATCGTCCAATCAAATATGGCCGGCCAGACACGCCTATTTTTCTATCGTCCAATCAGATGCGGCCGGCCAGACACGCCTATTTTCATATAGTCCAATCAGATATGATCGCCCAGATACGCCCATTTTCCTATAGTCCAATCAGATATGACCGCCCAGATACGCCTTCCGAATTTGGCTGCAGAGATACCTACTTGGTTTTAGTTTGGAGCTTTGACTTCTTCTTCTTCTTTTTTATGGCGGTTAGCAAGCAACGTTAAGATGTGCATTACCACCATCTACTGGAATGGAGTGTGGATCGGGATGCTAAATAAATACTACATAGGTTTTAAACAAAAAATAAATAAATAATAATAATTAACTAAATAAAATAATAATAAAATAAGAAAGAAAAAAAATACCATATTATCTCGATTATTTCCATCTTCTTAAGGTAGCTTAACAAAAAAAAAAACCCAATATATTCAGAAGTGGAAAGTTTATCCAAAAGATGCTGTATATTCAACTGTAGTTTGTTGTCCTGTAGTCTACGAGCCAGTTCCTTTCTCTCAGCTGAATATTTGGGACAGAATAATAAAACACGATTCACTGTCTCTTCTTGAAAACAAAAGTCACATTTTCCTGTAGGATGTTTTCCCATTTCAAACAATGCACTGTTTAATCTTGTGTGGCCAAAACGTAATCTGGACATGACCGTTTCCTCCTTTCTATTTCGTCCTGTTCTCCTCATTACACCAACTTTCCTTTGAATGCTATAAAGCCACCTGCCAGTTCTTTCTTCTTCCCATTGTTTCTGCCGTCTTTCCTTGACATTTTGTTCAATAACTGATTTGATTTCTCCTTTACTGAATGATACCAATATATCAATGCAAGTATTTTTTGTTGCTTGTTTTGCATATTTATCTGCCAACTCATTTCCTTTTATTCCTATATGTGATGGTATCCATAGAAATGTAATTAATAAACCCATCGCTTGAATTCTATAAATTAATAATTGAATTTCTAATAAAAATGTCAGGTCTGCTGTCTGAATGATTATTTTTCAATGAATATAAAGAGCTTTGACTTTGTTGATTTATCAGCTTTTATACTGAAATGATGTGTAGTATTTTTGGTTTATTTTATGTATTTAACATCAACTTGGTTCAGCTTGGCGGTTTTAAATTAGATTTATTAATAATAATAAAAAAAGACTTTGGCATTGTTCAGCTTGTTCAAAAATATAAAGAAAAAAAGAGAAAAACTTTATTTGTCGAACATTTAACAACATTCACCTATTAAGACGCCTGGTGTTATTAAAATTAAATGTGGCAACTAATGAATATTGTTATGGAACATTTCCACGTTTTATGCATATTAATGTTATTATCCGTTTGTAGTCTTGCAAATTTGAAAGATTTATCTTCTTTTAGTTAGGTCTATCGATTCAAAAGACGTCTGGTTGACTCATGAGAGAATAGCAGGCCACCTGTCTTCATCTGTCCTTCGTATTAATTTAAACATTATTAACGTGGGAACAACAGTAACGTTTTATGCTACATGTTTCATTATAAATTATACAACCAAACATCGTTTGAGGGCGTTTTCTGGATGACTTGTGCCTACCGTTGTTGTCAGAGTCGCTTTTGGAGAAGCCCACGATTCTGTTCATCCTGTCCTCCGAGTTCATGAGCAGCTTCCTCCTCCGGATCTCGGCCCTCCGCTGCGCCGCAGACACGGAGCCCGTTTTCTCCGTCTTCTCTTCGCCGGGCTCCATGTTGGTTAATTAATTTTAAATAACCTCAATCTAAAGATGTGAACGTGGTGCGCAAAAGCCAGCGACTCAACGGCTTGTCCCGTATTGATGACGTAAACACAAGCGCGCACCAATCATTAGGGTTTGAGCCCTGAACGCTGCCTCACAGGAAAACAGTGATTCAGCGTTTCTATATGTATGTTTATTATAAATTACTCACGTTTATATTAATATTATGAGATGACTTAGTAAAAAGAGTTAATATGTACTTTCAAAAATATACGTTGCTCTCTTTTTCAAATATTGCTCTTTGCACACTTGCTCTGCTTGTTTTCCAATTTTAGCTAGACATTCTGCTACCTTAACCTTTACTTACAATTATGACACTTATCTTTTAGCCATTTATTTAGCTGTTATTCATGTTTAGCCAGCCATTTGACAATAAGCTTTCAACTACTCTTGACATTCTCAGCTTTTTGCTAGATATTTGACATTCTTAGCTTCAAGACAACCTTATGACATTTTAAGCTTTTACCCATACTTTTGACAATCTTAGCTTTTATCTTTTTTACATCATCTTGACACTCTTAGCTTTTAACAGCAAATTGGCACTTAACTTTTTTCCTAGCTTTAGCCACTTAACATGATTAATTAGCTAGTCATTTAACATTTAGCTTCTAGCTAGCCAGTATTTGTCAACTTACCTTTTAGCTATTTACAACTCTTAGCCTTTTACAATCCTTTTGACACTCAGTGTTCAGCTAGCTACTTAACACTTACATTTTAGCCACTTGACAAGTTTAGCTTTTAGCTATTTTACATTCTTAGCTTTTAGTTAGCCATTTTGACTCAGATGTTAGCTAGCTTTACAACTATACTTTTGCTTTTAGCTCAACATTAGCTGATCTTTGATTCTTTCAGCTAGCATTTTATTTCAGCTTTAATTCATTGTGAGCTTCCTCAGTAATTTTCAGCACTCTATACACTGCATTTAGACAGAAAATGCATATTCTTTAGTTGGTACTGAATGTTTTTTTTAAAGCCTGAAGCTCTCAGATCGGCATTTGACTAGCCACAATTGTCTCTACAAAACAAAGCTAATTTTATTTTTAATCTATGAAAAACAACTTTATGCATTAAGACCAAAACATATTTGCGCCTAAATACATTCTTGTCATATAATACACAATTACAAACCACATAAAATCAGCTGAAACCTCAGTTCAAACTTAATTATTGGTCCAAAATTATTTTACCTTCACAGAATAAACATTGCTCACTGACCGACACAAACTACATTTAAAAAGTCCCAAAGAGTTTATTTTCTTAGCATCATTGCAGCTTCTTTATACTAAAATCATTTCTTCTCCTTTATATAATGCAGTCTTTTCAATATACAAGTATCAATAAGCATGATTAAAAGACCAAAATGGCTTTGTTACGACTGTTAAAGAATTTCCCATATCCTATTATATTAAAATATTTCATATATATAGAGTCAGTATTTAAACAGAGGATTAATAATAAAAAGTGAGTTCCCATCCAAGGCAATTAGAGAATTTAATCAGATTGGGAGTCTCATAAATTAAACAGTCAGGGATAGAAAACAAAAAAACAAACAGAACAGCGAAGTCGTCAGACGTCTGAATGTCCAGAGAAGAGACGACGTTTCTGAAGGACCGATCCGGCCAACGAGACAACTTCTCACCGTCGACACGTTCCAGGCAGCGAAGACATCAGAGGCGACACATTTGTTCGGCAAACGATTATAATGACTTTGAAATTAAAAACAAAACGTTCTCCGTCCTTCAGGTACATTAGTATGGTAAAGCTCAGGTGTGGTGTGCACAAATTCTCCAGATGACAACTCAAAAAGAAAAAAAAAATCTTTGAGCTCCAACCTTCAATATAAACCTAACCTCAAGCACTCGTACGTACACGTTTTAGAAAAGACATCTGCTTGCCTGCGCTTTATCCGAACCTCCGTTTGAAAGGATTGTTCTGTGAGAATAAACACTGATTCAATCAATCACCGACATAATCATCACAGTGGACTGCTTTAGTTTTCCTCCAACACGCTGCTTCAGCTCATTAGAAAAGTGCCAGATTACATCAGAATCAAGTCTCCGTCACGTCCTCGCACCCACAGCCGCTCGCTCCATTTGATTCGGCAGACGCCTCAGATCCGCTCAGGTTCATCTCAGAGTTGATGGTGGAGCACGGCTGGAGTCGGAGCAAGAAGCTGAGGTTGACCTCTAAACACACACGCAGATCCAAATACATATACACACACACATACACACGATGTCCGTCCTTTCTCCTCAGAGGGTTCCCTCCAGCCTGTCGCTCGATTATTTGGAGATTTGCTGCTGGATGTGCAGAAGGAACTCGTAGTACGACAGAGCCGACTCGGTTCGATCTTCAATCATGTTCTGCATAAAGTGGGCTTTCAGTTGGCTCTCATCCCTAAAAATAAAAATACGGATGACATGATTTTATTGTAAACACGTGACAATTTTTCCACGTTAAAGGTAATTTATCTTATGTAATATACACTTCAAGTCTCTGATCTATATTTTACACAGCTCTGTTCAAATTTATGTTTAGTGACTAGTCTTCTATATACCACCCCCTGCTAAACGTCACAGCTGAATCAAGAGTTTTTACACTCTTTAAGCACTTGCGTAACAGTTGCTGTTTTAAATGTGCTTTCTAAATAAATCTGACTTGACTTTACATCTCATCTAATCGCTCTCTGCCTAAGGCAAAAGGGCGACGGTGTTTTTGTTTGCATCCGTGTTCGTTTGTCTGCCGTGTTGCATAAATTCCTCACAAATGACTCTGGACGTCAACCCCATTCATTGCACTCATTGGATGATCTTTACCATCTATGTTTATTGCTGCTGCACTGTGTGGCTGTATCGTGCATGTCTCTACCTTACCATCATGATTCAGCTCATCTCACGGTTACTCACTACCTGCGCAATAGCCTGTCATACAACCCGTGTAGTATATGTTATGTGCGATATATATAATGTGCATTTAATTCAATCAATTCAAAAATACTTTATTAATCCCAAAGGGAAATTAAATGCTGTAACTTGTTATTCTGGTTTCATTAAGAGATGTTATAAATACTGATGGCTGTAGGCAGGAAGGAGCTCTTGTAAAGGTCCGTCCCACAGCAGATTAAGCAATATTACTACCCATGAAATACTAATTAATCCATCTTGCACCGTTATATTCTACCATGTTTACTATATTTCTTTCGGGCTTTGTAAATATATTTCTTTTCACTTTTGGTACATTATTTTGTACTTTTATTGCATGCTTTGGTGTTTCTCGGTTTATTAGCAAGTTAAAATGGTTCTTCTCATCCCGAACCTTTCATTGCGTTGTTGACTTTGTGTTAACCTGCATATGACAAATAAACAAAAAACTAAACTACTGGCCAGCAAAGCTTAAACAGAGATCTTGTACCCAAAGTGAAAATGTACTAGAAATACAATTTGCTTTAATGACTTAGCGCAACAAAGCGCTACAATATCCCCATACAAATTGGGCCGTTAGATGTACAAAGAAAGCCTCAGTGAGCACTTAGAGGTCTAACAATCAGCTAATCAGCATCATAAACAGGATTACCATGATTGTAGTGGACAGCAACACTTCACTCTTAAAATTAAGGCAGCAGATGGTGGAATGGTCACTAATCCGTGTACATACAATGCTAAATGCAGACGTGTTCGTGTTAAATGGACGGTTATAGAATATACACCCTTCCACATCATGACTGAGGCAACGTCAAACTAAAGACTAATAAACAGATGTAATAATTTATTCTCCTTTAACACCCTGTTTGTGCCCACCTGATGATGTGGAAGGAGGGGGAGAACGGCCTCTGATCCCTGAGCCAGCCGACAAAAGCTCTGGTTCTCTGAGATTCTGCGGTGTCCAGTTCTGGGAGGAGGTACTGCGAGAGGAGAGCAACGATCAACATTTTAAGTCGTCTCTGCATACATCTGTTTTTAAATTAGAGGTGAAGGGAAGGTCTGAACAGTGGCAGGATGAGGTCAAAGTTGCAACAAGGTGGTTCTTACCAGATTATCAGGCACCGCTGCGTAGTTTGGAACTGCCAGGACTTGTGTGAGGAAGTTAGGTTGACAGTTACGACCGATCCAAAGATACATCACCTGTCGGAACAAAATTAAACCACTGATGCCTCGTTCCAAAGCTGGACATCCCCAAGGACACATCACAACTACATCAGGACTGTTCGCGCAAAGTTAAATCATTTAAGGACAGAAAACATAAGCAGCAAATCCTTAAATGAGCCGTTCAGTGAGTTACCGTATTTTTTGCTGTATAAGTCGCACCTTTTTGCATAAATTTGCATGTCCTGCAACTTTTACACCGAAGCAACTAATGTACACCACCCCCCATTTAAAACCCAATTTTTGGCTGAAATCTGATGATTTCATTGATTCTGACATGAAAAAATATTGAATCCTAGCTGCTAGAGGGCCCTCGAGTAATATGGCAAGCCAAGCTCATTAAAAGGTAAAAGTGGCTATTAACGAGACACTTGGCTTGCCATACCAAGCCACCTTCGTCTCACTCCAGAACTCTTGGAGCAAACGTCAAATCAGCTGCATTTTGCTATGCTGCCCGGGCAAAATGCAGCTGATTTGACCATTAAAGTGCATTTATTAAGGAAAAGTTCAACCGATACACACCTTTACTATAATGTCGAGCAAACAACCAATTGTTTTTGTGTTAATCTTGTTAATTATTGAAGTCCTCCAGTGCACGCTCCTGCGGTCGCCATTTAGCAGCCAATAGATTTTTGGCACAACACCGGCCCATGTTTCCAGGTGGTCAGTGGTGACGCATCAGCGAGGACGCATAATGGATTTGAGTTACACGGCGAAGCGACTTGTTTTTTTCCCCACGTTATTAGACATTTTTGGACTGATGTGACTTATACGGTGGTAAGACATGTACGGCGGCAAGTACAGTAATTCCTTAACAGGGTGTTTGCCCAACATGCAGCCAGATTGAACATATCAGCTTTGAATTTATTAGCTTGTTCCAGAAGTTCGTTTGTAAAACGTACAGTTCCAGCGTCCATGAGGAACGCTCCCTCCCTGCTGAGCTTCTCCACAGACAGCTGCAGAACTCGGGGCTGGGGGATGGTCCGATCGTTGATGTTTAAAGCTCCCTGAGGACAAGAGGAAAAGAAGGTTAGGAACTAATGCTTCAATTTAACAAAACATGACAAGGAATATTTTTACACATCAATAAACTACAAAATCCTTTGATTTACCCTCCAGTGTGAACAAAATATTCAGAGTTTAAGGAAACAAGGATTTATTAAAATGTAGTTTCTCCCAGATGAAAGTTCGTCATCCTCACCTCATCGGTCAGGTCGTCGACCCGGTACAGAGCGGGGTGGATCATCAGCATGGTGAAGGCCAGCGGCTGGTACTTCAGCTGGTACATGGCAAACACTCTGTCATCCAGCCTGGTGCTGGTGCCGGTCCTGAAGGCTTTCTGCAGAGCAAACAGAATCAACAATAAAACAGGAATGTTTCAAAGCCAAATCCGAAGAGTAAAAGCACGTTCTTAATGTGCTGTCTTAAATTAATGTCGATTTCTTAACAAGTCATTAATAAAACCATCCCTCGTTTATCAGAATGTAAGTACGTGTGAAACTAGAATGACAATCAAGGGGGAAATAAAAAGACGAAGTTTATAAAAGTGATAAAATAGGTGACCTGTTTGAGCAGAGCGAGGATGAAGAGTGGGAAGAGTCTGAGGCAGGCTGGAGCCAACAAGCCGGGCTGCTGGATGGTCAGCACCGACTGCCGGTATGAAGTCAGCGAGTCGATGGCGGCGTTGGTCATGGCGTCTCTGGCATCGCTCAGACTGGCGGACACAGAGCGGTCCACAGCTGGAGAGTTAAGAGTCAGAGATGTAGCATTTGATATAAACCCCAGAACACTTCCCCGAAGTGTCGTTTTTAACATCTGTACATACATCTATGTATTTCTGTATTTGCTCTCAATAAATGAGCATATTATTCATGATAATTTCAAAATCCAAGCTTTTTATTTTAAGAGTAACTCGTACTATTGTGATATTCGGTTAACCCAGATGACGCATCTCGATCAAACAGTTTTCATTTCGATGTGCCTCGTGCAGCAGCGCTTACCCATTGAAGCCAACAGCCCAGTGATGGCCTGAACGTCGGCTCCAGCAAAGATATCCGACAAAGAATTGGCAACAGGAAGGCACAAAGTGTGCACACGAATCCTCCTCTCACCTGTGAGAGACAAGTTGTTATTGAAAAAAACACAAAAAACTGTTTTCTGATTTCCAGAGCACCAGACGGCATCCTCGGTGTGTACCTTTGCTGGAGGTGTACAGAAGCGCAGCTTGGAAGGAAACGACCTGCATGTCATCCAGGTTTTCTTCAATGGACATCTGAACAGCAAAGCCAGCGTCCGGGTTGACGTTGGGGAGGGACAACAGATCTGTGGAGCGCACGAAGAAGTTCCCGTGGAACGTGTGGATGGACAAACCTGCAGAGAAACGAACATTAATTATCTTGAACTCTGACAAATGTGCCCAACGCAAAACAAGCCTGGACCTGGAATCAAGAGATAATATAACACTACTGTGAATTTAATCCTTATTTATCACTTTCATGCGCTTTATGGTTCTAAAGAAATAACTTAGTTGTGAATAAAACGATTAAAGGTTTGAGGAAAGGCTTTTGCAAAAAGGATCTTCCTGCAATCCACACCCAACTTTAAAATACTGTATTTTTCACCCTATAAGTCACAGTTTTTTGCATAATTTGCATGTCCTGCGACTTATACGCCGAAGCAACATATTTATGGATTTCCCCCCCCCCCATATTTATAAAACAGTTTTTGGCTGAAATATGACAGATTTCATTCATTCTGACTCAAAATAATGAACACTACCATTTTCAGCTGCTAGATGGCACTCAAGCAGTATGACATGCCGTTCGATAATGTTATAGGTAAAGATGGCTATTAATGACACAATCGGCTTGCCATAGCCTGCCACCGTTATCTGCCTGGAGCAACCATCAAATCAGCTTCATTTTGCTTCGCTGCCCCGGCAAAATGCAACTAATTTGACCATTGAAGTGCATTTATTCAGTAAATGTTCAACTGAGACACACCTTTACTATAAAGTCGAGCAAACAAATAATTGTTTTAGGTGCTTATCTTGTTAAATTTCGAAGAAATGCACAGCGAGTTGCCCTCATGTTTCCGAGTATCAGCTTTTGAAAATGCAGCTGATTTGACCGTCAAAGTGCATTTATTAAGGAAAAGTTAGACTGTGACACACCTTTGCCATAATTATTTTCGAGCAAACAAATAATTATTTTAAAGTGTTAATATTGTTAAATTCTTGTTAAAGTCCTCCCGTGCACGCCTCCGCAGCCTCCATTCGGCAGCCAATCGATTTTTGGCACAAAACTGGCCCACATTTCCGGGTTGTCAGCGGTGACGCGTAATGGATGCGACGTATACGGCAAAGCGACGTATACGGCGAAGCGACGTATAAGGCGAAGCGACGTATACGGCGAAGCGACGTATACGGCGAAGCGACGTATACGGCGAAGCGACGTATTTTTATATTTTTCCACTTTATTAGACATATTTGGACTGATGCAACTTATAGGGCGGTGCAACATTTACGGTGAAAATACTGTAAATATTTATCTTATTAAGCTTGCTTTTATTTTTCAAGAAAGCTACACAACAGATAATCATAATAAATTTTTGTTGAGAAAGGTATATTCAACTTTTGTGCCAACTAACCTTTGGTGCAACGTATCCTCATGACGGCCTCGAAGCCGATCTTTCTTGTTAAATATCTCTTCAGATCCTTGTGGAAGCGCTCCACCTGACCTGGATTGTGATGGTGGTGGTAGGAAGGGTAGTAATAAACACTCCCTGCCGAGTATCTGGATATGCAGCCTGGAGGAGAAACAGGAAGAGATTTGATTAATGATTAAATGACTGACCAACATCCCTGAGACCCCCACCCACCTGTATATCAAGATTTTACATATAATTCTGTTTAACTAAAACATATGTTTCCCCCCTGTCAGTCCATGTGACGCTCACCAAGTGATGCCAGGTCGCAGTACTGAGAGCTGAGCAGAAACAGGTCGACAGCCACCTGCTGACCGGAGCAGTCCAACGCCAGCTTCTTGTAGAAATCAGTTGCTGGGGAGAGGTGCTGGATGTCCTGAAATGAACAAATCTCTCTGTGACGATACTTAGGCAAAGTCAGTAAACACTTAATTCGAGCAGTCAGTTCCCACTGACAGCCACGGAAAATATAGGAAGTAAAATCTGGTGTTCAGGTAACTAAATACTGAGGCAGAATAAAGAGTTTTGACACACTTTTCAGAATAAAATGAGTGTTTCTACCTTGGAAGATGCTCGCTGGTTGGGGTCCTCCCTGGACTGAAGAGCCCCCACACCCAGATTAGGCAGCTGCGTCTGAAACACAGACATTCGCCCTCCGGTGGGAGACAACAACTTGAAGGCTGCCTGTAGAGCTGAACCCAGGGCAGACTGGGTCTCCATCGTCTTCTCAAATAAATTAGGCAGGCTCTTCAGCAGATCCTGCACAAGCTGAAAAACAAAACCCAAAAGACTTGAATCTTATGAAACGACGTTGGTCAAAAACTTAGATAGGTGTATTGTTTTCTATACACTCGTATTAAGTGACTACACAGAATCCAAACGATATAGAAACATTCAGTATTATTCAAGGTGCAGGTCTTACCTCCTTGGATTCATTGAGGTTTACTAGAAGGCTGTCTGGTGTTGGTAAAAAGATGTCTGTGGAGCACACGATGTTAGATTTTAAACCAAATTGATGAAACCCAGGCTAACATTTAAATCTGTATTTAGAAAGCATTTGGAAAAACAAGCGTGGTCTTTGCTGACGGCCGCGTCTCACCTTCAATGTCGGACACGATGAGCATCTGTGGCTGGGAGAGTCCCTCCTGGAGGTTGTAAAAATGGATGGTGCTATCGAACGTTATGAAGCCAACTTTTGTTCGTGAGTCTCCAGGAAGCCTGAGGGACAAAGACACACACAACTACCGTTAGGTTCTTCTTGTGGAACAAGTGAAATAAGCATTCCCACTGGCGTGCGTGCTTATTTATTAATGTCCCAACCAATTTTTGACTTGTTCCATGTTGTGGGACCGATTCAAGCCTGAACTAGACAAAAATGTTTGTATAACCAACAGATCTAACTGGAATGACACAAAATTGGGCTCTACATACGAGTGGATGTTGTCCAGCACAGACTGACAGAACTCTTTCAGGTAGCCCGTCTCCACGGCATTGTGGGATACATCCAAAACAAACAGATAAACAGCAGGTTGTGGTGGCCTCAGCTGCAAAAACATACAGGCACACGCATTAAAAAAAAAAAAAAAAAAAGTATAAGGATATTTGGTGCATTTTTTACAGATATTTCAACTAAAAAAAAAAAAAAAAACATACTGAACCTACCATATATTCAGAAGGAGCTATAAACTCGATAGTGGCATTCTGGACTTCGGGCCTTTTGTGCGGTTCTCCGTATGATCTGCTGACCGGGTTGTACATAAACTCCTCTGGAACTACACAAATCATCCAGAAACAGTCTCAAATTAACCTTTTTCCCCCGTATAATTTAAATTTGTTAATGTTATTTAAATGTAATTTTTTTGTAAATTAGTATTTAACAGGAATGCATCAAATATTTAATCTTAAGTAAGTTATTTAGGAATGAGTAATGTGGTCTTTAAGCTGAAATAGTTTGGTAAATCTAAACGCCTGGAGCGTTCCAACAGACAGCAGCTCTTTCAGACGCTTCAGTTTCGCGTCTCTTTAGTTTCTTACCATCATTGACTCGATAACACAGGTTGCACTTCCATCTTCTCTGGTCCAGGAAGGAGACGAAGGGATTGATGTAGGTTCTGCAGGATCGACACCTGACAATGGTGCTAGATGTCACTACAGGAAGTTGCTGCAGGGACAAACAAACAGAAAACACAAACAAACTTTGTGAGGTAAGCAAACTAGTTCATTGCAAGTGGAACGTTGAAAAAATAATTTTCTTGTTGCTGCCCAAAATGTGCAACGCCACCGTTTGTGTTCAATCAAAGCAGGAACCAACGAGCTGACAGTTGATGCCAAGGGGCTTATTTAGACACATTTTATTTTGGAAATAAGGTTGGAGGACACTGTTTAATCAATTCAAAAAAGATGTTGCGGGTAAATCCAAAAATCAAAACACACTGAATTCAGGATGGGACTGCCATAAGTCTTAGAAAACTAAAATAAGCTGTTTTCCATACCCCTACTTGCTTCTAAATTAAGTATTTTGTACAATTTTTTGATGTAACCTGACAGGATCAAAACAGATGATCATAAATGCACAACATCCCTTTGGTCTTATCAGTATTTAGCACCAGTTTGACATGGAACAAATTTGACTGGATGATGTTGAATGCAGACTCTAAGAGCTGAAAAACCTTAGCAACTGTTCTAGCTCGACAAAAGACTACTGTGTCATTGGCATAGAAATGTAAGGATGCATCAGGAATGATCTGCTGTGTTTCCCCTACCATTATACAAGCGGGGCGCACTGCCCCGTCAACAGAGCAGAGCGCCCTGTCTACTGAATCCCCCACCCCACACTGATGCAACACTAAACTAGCAGCTTGCAATGCAGGTGCACTAGCTAAAAAGCTAAAGGCAGCCTCTTCCCTCGTGCTGAACCCTCACGCTGACCCCCCACACTTGAAAACTGTTGGTATAAACAGCGCAATCATGTGTGTCTCTCTCCCCCTCCTCCCCAAAAAAACCTGTAAGTACAGACAGCGCACGGCTGCATTTCTGTCTCCTCCCCCTCTAAAACTATTGGTATAAACAGGGCGATGCGCAGCTCAGGACGCGTCTCCATCCACTGATCTGACCTACATTGCTTATGTAGATTGTGAAGAGGGTGGGTCCTAAGACTGAGCCTTGTGGTACACCATTATTAACATTTAGCTGGAAGAAGTACCATTATATTGAACACATTGCCACCAATCAGAGAGGTAATTAGAGAACCAACAAACAGTGTGATCTGAGAAACCAATTTCCGAGAGTTTGTGATACAAGATGTTATGATCCACAGTGTCAAAAGCTTTAGACAGGTCTAAGTAAAGTGCAGCACAATAGTCCTTAGCATCCAATGCTTGAACATCATTAAAAACCTTCAGTGAAGCAGTCATTGTGCTGTGTTGTTTCCTGAAACCAAATTGATGGGGAGGTAAGATGTTAAAAAAGAATCCAAATACTTTTTGATTTGAGAGTTCATCAATTTTTCTAAAACCTTAGCAAGAACACAGAGTTTAGAGATTGGCCAGTAGTTGTTCAGTATAGTGGGGTCTCCTCCCTTCAGTAAAGGAAGAACAAAGGCTGTTTTTAAGCGTTTAGAACGGTATTTTGGCTTATGTTAATTACTCTGGTTTTACTTCATTGTTTAGCTTCACTTTAGTCCTCCTTACGTTAAAATAGTGATATTTTAAATGTGATTTAACAATGAGAGCAAGGCTACAGAAGCACAACTTGAAATATGTTACATCATGCAACGTACTTGACCTGAGAAGCCAATAAACATTTTGGATTTCATGTTTTGTTTATATTTAACAGCTTCTGCTGTGTGCTCACACAGAGAAACAAACTCAGGGTTTGTTGAAGGAAACCAGTCAGTTTAGTCGCTTCTTTTGGCATCTAAAACATTTGTTCCCTTTAACCCCTGAACTAAAGCAGGCTGATTCATCTAATATGGATACAAGGAAGAGCAGAACGTATTCCCCCCTCCATCAGATGCCTTTCATTTTCACATCTTAAAACTAACGAGGAACCCAAAACACTAGTGTAAAGGGAATGCAGTCGTATTTTCTGTGATCCTTCGGATTTACAGACTAATTGACGAAGACATGTAAATGGACATTAAATATTAACTTCAACACTTACTGAGAGGTCTTTGAATGGGTGGAGCAGCAGGCCCAGAGGCATCTTAGCTTTATTAAGTAGAGCTTGGGTCTGAGGGATGCTGGTCAATGTGCAACAAAAAACCCTGAAGACAAAAAACACACATGTTCAGTGTCTCCAGTAAGAACAAGGACGGAAACTTAAACACTGCTAAATTTGTTTTCTGGTTACTTGTGCAATAAAGAAGTCCCATTTAAAATCTGCTCAAAGATTAAAAACATGATGTGCTTCAAGACTTACTCTGGGTTGCAGTTCAACTTCTGCAGGTCCTGGGGCAGACAGGGTGTGGGGGCAGGAATTGGGCTTGTTGGCAGCAGGTTCCTCTCCTGCAGCAGGTTGACCACCCTCAGGGCTTCTGGGGTTTTCGACTGGAGGCTCATGGCTGCCAATGATGGACTCAGCTGAGCTGGACCTGGACCACCGGGCGGCTGAGAGAAGGTAAATAAAAAATATTATCTGGTTAAATGAAACCTAATTACTTTTGAATCTGTCAATGACATGAGTAGCCGATACGTGAGAAGCTCGTTCAAACAGTGTAAATTTCACCTGCTGGTACTGCTGAGGTGCTTGAGTGTAAGGCTGGGTGGCAGCTTGAATTGCTGGGTGCATGGAGGAGGATGCAGGGGGAGCCGGGGTGTTCTGGTACCCAGGTGGGAGGGAAGGGTAGTGACCCAAGTGCCGACCAGGTGGACCAGGCTGAGTCGGGCCAGCTGGGGGTCAAACAGGTAACATAAATAAAAAATCAAACAAGTTAAGATACGACTATTCCAGAAACCTTAGAGCTCTTGGAAAAGGCCACACCCAAAGTTGCAATCAGTCAATCAATCAGTTCAGTCTGCAGCCTCCACTCTTCTCCCAGAGGCACGTTCACTGTTATTATTCCCAGAATGCAACACTGTATTTGGTTAAGACATTTTTCATCCACAGAATAACACCTCTTATGTGACACATTTACAGCAGCATGGTACATAAAGACCCAACTCTGAACAAATCATTATTATTATATTGCTTTGTGTCTGCACAAAAGCCTTACCCATTCTGCTGTCGACATGATTATAGCTGTTTGGAGCCTGTGGGACACCGCCAGCCACCGCCCCTGGAACAAAACAATCATATTATGAATTATTTGAGGAGGCATGTTTCTATTTGTGACCTAGTGTGCAACCAAAAGGTGATGGGATGGTGTAAGACGAGGTGTAGATGGACACAAGGCAGAAGTAACACTAATAATGTCAATTATAGGAACTAATGCTATTTTAAGGCTTCATTTAGATGACACAAAGACAAAACTACCAAAGATATTGACCAGAGATGTGATCAGTCAGTTTGACACACAACATCTGAACTTTTCAGTAATTTTGTTACTTTTATGAGGCGTTCCAGAAAAGTAAGGGATTAAAAAAAAAAAAAGTCACCATTCAATCATAGGATGACAAAATAATACAGAAAGGACAGCATTTCCACATCACTGACACAACAATATAACAGGTAAATGACACCAAACAGGTGATTTTAGCCACACCTGGACATTCAATATCCTCTCCCTGGAAGTCGGGCTCAGCATGAGGAAAAGCGTCGTTGACAGCCCCCTCACACTGAGCTGGCATGTTAAGGAAGGAAAATGGGGGAGGGAAACAACATAGGGAGGTGAGAACAACAACGGCTGTCTTTTAGAAGGACATACACCCCCTGACTGTAAAGTGACAGTTTTATATGAGCAGTTAATTTAAAATTAATACAATGCACAAAATAAAAACTTACCATCCGCCTTGGGTGGTGCAGGTGTGGCACTGGCCATAGTGGGGGCGGCTAAAGGTGGTGCGGGCTTCATGGTTGGTGGAGGTCCTGTAGGTGGAGGCCCATAGGCAGGTCTGTTTTGGTATGATTGAGGAGCCATAGGAGGAGGTGCAGGGCCTGGTGGAAAGGAAAAAAGATTTCCATTAATTGCTTAATTATGTTCACAAATACAATGTGACCGTTCCTAAATCAAGAAAAGGAAAAAAAGACCCATTATTTGTGTTTATGACTGGCTTTTGTCTGACAAAAAAATGTGCTTTGTAAAATTAGATGAAAAATTATTTCATGTATTCACACAGGATTAGTTTTACCTAGGGACCACATGTAATAAATAAATAAATAAATTACTCCCCAACGTCTGCTTTTTATGCGACACATTCAAACGGGATAACCAAAGCCTGAGATTTAGCTGAAATTTACGGACATCTTCCGGATATGATGTTAACGTGCTGCGTATTGCGCAACATCCGCTCGTGTGTTCAAGATGGTTTTTTTGGCGACTATATGGGTCGATAAGCTTTCGTTGGTCCGGGACACAAAAGGTTATTTATGCACTCCAATGCAGCCTCCACTGCCAAAAGCAAATAAAAATGTGCCCAGGAAACAAAAAACGCCAAATTATGTATCGGATCCTGCCCATTTCTGTCCAAATCACAGAGATGCCTATTCACATTGGATTAGTATTACCACAGGCCCTCTGAGTTCAGCAAAATATAGTAGGGGGAATTTTTACTTTACAAATTACTGACGTGGTTGATTCGCATGGGATTAACAACACAGACAATCTCCGTAATTACTACAAATAGCATGTGGTTACTAGGTAAAACTAATCCTGTCAGAATAGGGCTTTACTTCACAAATACACTATTTAAGACGTACTTTTGAGTAGAGGCGTACTGATCAGTTGATTGATTGTAAGGATGTCCAATTTGAACCTTTTAATTAATTTATCAACGTTGGAAATGTTTGATTCAAAACAGGCATATCTGGGGGGTTCACAACGGGCCGTGAAAAACGATGACCAGAATATTATGTTAACTTTATAATTTACTGTACCATTATTATTAGTCGTTCAGGTATCAGATATGAGCAGTATAATAAGACCAAAACAAAACTCGTATAACTCTTGGACCTAGTTCTGACCTGGCTCTTCAATAAGTGATTAGAATGTGTTTGGATAGAGCTAAATGAGGGTCCGAATGGCCTCAATGCGCAGCAAACAGCTTCCCTTAGACTGTTTGGAGGTGGTCTGGACTTGTTTCTATCTGCATATGTTTGGTAATCTGAATGCGACCTGTCCTGATTATCCACTTACTGAACTGATGTGACCCAACAAGCAGCAGCGTTTTTATCATGAACATTACGAGAAACAAAAAAAAAAAGCTTGCGACAGCTAATGGCTAATTAAAGATAAACAGTCATTCATAGAAGAATTGTGTTCTACACAAACAGTTCTAAACAGTGTTCTAGAATTGCGCAGTTCAAGGTGGCTGCATGTTGGAGCAGCTCTGTTCCTTTCATTCTGAGATTTTGCTTTTGGAAACTTTAATTCCTCTTTTTCTGGATGTAAATCACATTTTTTGGATGATTGTTTCCTCTGGTATCAGATGCTGTGCAGCTGGAAGGACTTTTACTGAAACTTTTTTTTAGTTTTGGACATTTGTTATGATGCGTAACCATGGCAACAAGGCAGTTTTCTACAACAGCAGCAGCTGATTAACTTCTCAAAGCTCAAATAATTTCTCAACTACAGCCCCAAATCTCAAATGAGTTGAAAGGATGTTCTGTGGATGCATTCTCATCTACCCGCCAGCTGTGCTCGAGTGCCTGACCACTGAGATCCTGGAACTAGCAGGACACACGGCTCATGACAGCGGAAGGACAGGATCGTCCCTCAGCACCTACAGCTGGCTGTCTGCAGCGAAGAGGAGTTCGGCAGACTGCTGGGAGGAGTGGCCATCGCTCTCGGAGGAGTTCTGCCCGGCATTTGGGCGGTCTTACAGCCCATGGGAACTGAGAGACCAGCAGAGTCTGCGTGGACGGATCAGACAGCATCTGCAGCCAGTTTCTTAGGATCCACTGTGGGATGGACCTTTACAAGAGATCCTTCCTGTCTACAGCCATCAGCATCTATAACATCTCTTAATGAAATGAGGATAACGAGTTACAACAACAAAATAATTTCCCTCTGGGATTAATAAAGTATTTTTGAATTGAATTGAATAGGAATATCCTGAAGATAAGGTTGACTAAAAGTATGACTGAACAACTACTCAGAATCCTCAGTAAAAACATATCGTCTTGTGGATACATTGTTTAATTCACCACAGTGGGTTGTGGGACGCAACGTGGTTTCTTTTCAGTTTAATATTTTCTGGAACTGATCGGACCCGCTGTGGTCATTGTAAGCTTTAATATTCTGTTAATCACATGACAACAGTCTGTAGGTGTTAGGTCACATTACATGGTTATAAGTTAGGGGGAGTGGTGGCACAGAGGTTAGAGGAGGTGGGCCTGTGATCGGAAGATCGCCGATTCAAGCCCTGGTACCGACAACATCAAAAATGTGGGTGGGGTAGGTGAAGCACCCACACCTGCCCTCACCCTCATTCGCCCCACTCTGGGCCCATGAGCAAGGCCCTTAAACCCCATCATCTGCTTCCTAAACAGGTCTCTCTTGAAAATGAGTTATTGTGGCTCAATGAGACTACCTGTATAAATAAAGAGTAAATTAAAAATTAAAAAATAGTCCAAATCAAAGAGCACAGATGTCAGGGGAGCTGTAGAAATCTGTCAGCACACCATGAAAGCTTTGAAATCTTCAGTTCCTGCTCTGACAGTGAAACCACTTGACAGAAAAGTTACTCAAATGACTCCAAACCGTGTTAATGTTAGAATAATATAACTCAAATGTCTGAATTTAACGTAATTTGTACAGAAACATAACAGACCTGCTGTCACTGACCTGACAGTTTACTGCGGGAGTGTGTGAGCGACATACGATGGCGAAAACATTTTGGGATACGCATTACCTGCCAAGTGTGAATCAATCACCTGCAGTTAAGATGGAGATTTAAAGACAGCTTCTTAGAGTTCAAAAGTTTCTGAGGTTTGTGCAGCTCCTTTAAGCCAGTACACACTTTGTTAGCAGCGCTGAACCAAATTCCATCAATCAACGTTTTCTTTGTCGTCTTTGAAACTCTAGTAAACTGTAATGTGTATAAGAATAAACTATTACAGAGTATATGATCCGAACAACAAAACGAAACTATACGGCCACAAGTTTTTGAAAACACAGGTTTTTAAACACAAAATCAAATTACAGTCAATTTCACTTAAACTCAGATTAAACCAAATCTGCCCCATTAAATGATTAGTTCAGGAAAAATGAACATTTTAACATAAAGCAGGATAGAGTTTATATTTAACACAATCTTTAAAAAGGCCAAATCCTTTCTTCAGTGGGCTTTTAGGCTCACTGCCACCTTTTACTTCCTAGATATGCTCAGATGGTGCCATTTTCCTTAAACTTAGAAATATTCTGATAACCAGCCGAGACAGTCATGTGACCGTTGCAAGTAATGCGCTAAGAGGCAAAAATCACTCAATTCTTTGGCAAATCTTTCACAACGTGGTGAGAAATTAAGCAACCAACTTAAACGTCATGCCCGTTACCGTGTAATAAAACCACTTCCTCTTAGAACAACAACAAAACACTCAGAATTTCTTGTGTTCTTTTGTTTCCTAATTTTTCAAAAATCTGAACAAGAACGGTGATCTTTATTTCAGCAACACAATGTGCACCTTGAAATTAATATAATAAAAAACAAAAGCGTGTTTAGCTCAGAAAGTTATGCTATGCTTATAGATCAGAATTGACATATTAATGTTCCAATTTGAACTTTGCACAAACTGAGTAAAAGTGTCTGCGCCTGGGAGGGAGCCAGAGGCAGCAGACAGCCAACATGTTCATCTTCGGAGCAGAGGGCAACGTCCAGTTCCAACATATCACAACTCTAGATATGCATATCTACAGCGCGTCACTGAATAATGGCAATTACAGGACCGACAAGTGATAGTATGTATGTTATCAAGTAACTGGGTGGGAACAATTAGCAGTGGGTAGTTTATAAAAAATAGTGTCAGTTTTAAAATGGATGCACTTAATATACAACAGTGAACCAATAATTATGCAAGATTTTACTTTTTATAAAAAACTACACTGATAACTTATCTTTTCATACTAAGCTCTATCTTACTTTAAATATTCTATTGTTCCATAATTTCCTAACAGAGCATTTCTCTCTGGTTTACATGTGGTTCCTAGAGTTTTAAATGTAGAACAGAAGTCTGTAAGGCGTTGTCTACTTTTAAGACTAGCCTTAAGCCTTTCCTTTTTGATCACTCCTATAGTTAGGGTTGGCTTGGGTTTCCTGAGCTATCCCTTAGTTATGCCGCAGTTTAAACTGACCACATTTTCTCACTCTGCAGCTGTTTTTACACTCTACGCTCTCCATGTTTGTATTTGTAATTATTTATATAATTAGCATGTGTTACATCTTTGTTTTTCGTTGCATATTAAAAACTAGATCTGGACCAAGACTTTTGTCTCTTTCCTGTACTTCAACCCTAGCCATCCCAAGCCAGGTTCTACTAAAAAGGGAATAATGTTAAAAAAGACTCTTTCACCTTTCACTGTTTGCTCAGGATGGGGGATTGTGGCAAAAATGAAGATTTGATGCAATCTGCTGGCTTCCTTAGATAACGTGTTACTAATTGGCATTTCACCATGTACTGTATGTAAATGTATTGTTTAAGATTGATAATGAAATGACTGCATTTTAATTTTAATCTGGATCAGAATTGAATTTACAATTTAAACATGTGGCTTTTCTTTTTGTACAATGCTCTGTGATAACTTGTGTTGTAAACTGGTGCTGCATAGAGAACCTGAATTGAACCAAATCTTTACTCAACATATTTGTTAGAATGAAAGAATGTTGCTACACTTCAGATCAAAATGTATCCACGTTGTGCTTTCGAACACAACAGATTAGCGGAGTGTTTGTGTTCCTACCTGGCTGAGTGTATCCATGCATGGAAGTGGGGGGAACTCCTGGGCCTGAGATTTGGGTGGGACTTTGGGACATTTTTGATGGTGGTGCAGAGCTGTAAGCTGATGAAGACAGTGGAGACGGTGCAGCTAAGCTCACAACTGGATTCACATGATTCGCCAAAGGCCCTCTGGGGGGCGCTCTCATTGATGCAGCTGGCCCCACTGGTGGAGTTGCTGCGTTGTACTGCCATGTTGGAGCCACTGGCTGCTGAGGGTTTGAGTAGTAGCCACTAGAAGAGACAGCAGGAGGAGGTGGCGTTTGTTGTGGAGGGGGAATCCTAGGACCAGGGCTGGCAGACTGAGGGGGGGTATAGGATGAAAGACCTCCCATTGGAGGTCTGGATAACAGTGGCTGGCCTGGAGAGGAAGGATAAGATGCAACTGGTGGGTCTGGATGATAGAAACTGACGGGGGGGACTGACTGATATGGTCCAGAGGGGTAGAGACCAGGGCCAGGGGGTGGTGGAGCTTTAGCCTGCATTGGATTGTAGGCTGGTTGGTGATTCATGTCATAGTTGACTCCTGGAGGCTGCTGTAGGGCAACTGGGTTCTGTGATGGACCTAGTGACAAGCAAATAGAACATATTACATAATTATCTTACTCAAAACACACAACCATTTTTAAGCCTAAAAACCCTTTCAAGCAAACATGAGCTGAAAAATAATTCAATATCTTCTCCCATAAGCTCATCTTACAATAAAAGTTGCTACAAATCCACTCTTGGCTCTTTTATTGAATCTAAACAAAGACTTCCATTTGTTGTTTAACTTTCTTTTTTATTTTATAATAATAATAATAATAATGTCATCACAATGTCAGCACTGTATGTTTCCATACAATGGCGAAATTAGTCTCTGCATTTAACCCATCCACCACCAGGTGGTGCAGTGGGCAGCTATTGAAAGCGCCCGGGGGACATTTTGGGGATGAGACGTGCTGCCCAGAGACGCCACGTGATGTGCAGTGACTGGGGATCGAACCTGGGACTTTCGGGTCCCAAGCCGGCTGCCCTGCCTCTACACCATCTCGGCCCCCATTTTTGTCCAATTAAAAATATTCAAGTAGCACAAAAGCAAATACAAGAAGCACAGACCTGGCAGTGACATGACCACACACACAACCCCCCCACCAAAAAAAAACAAAACATTTGGATCCACCAAATATCCAACAAACTGACAGCTGAGAGTCTAATCTGTTCACTTGGATTTAATTCAACATGATCTGTCCGCACGGTGACGGTGCAGTTTTGAGCAAAGTTTAACCCTGGTTTAATGAATACAGCTGCATTAAATGTTTTTTTTTTTACTTTTACAGGTTTCTTAATACTTCCAAATAATATATTTTCCAATACAAATGATCAGTTCCCTGGATGGTGCAAAATTTTAAGAGAATGAAAAAATGTTAAATGGCTACAGTAAAAAGCAATATAAACTCTGAATGAATAAATGTCATCTGTATAGCAGTCTATTTGGAAACTGTTTTCAAATTACAGCCTCAATGCAAGATTGTTTGCAGGCTAACAAAAAATAAATAAAAAAATTGCATGGTGCACAAAGGGTCACCACAACTCGCTTAGTCATTCACAACACAAACAGCAGAGCTCCATAAACAATATAAAACAAATTAATCAAAAATCCTGCCAAAGAAAGGTACCTCATAAAAGAAAAGAATCTTCTAGAGGTCTTCCTAGGACACTAAAGATCTGAAGGTTCAAGTTGGACACAGCTATTTTTTGACATAATCAAATGTGGAAAAAGACAATGCAGTCAATCACACATTTAAATGCACACCAAGCTTTATTACTAAGCAGCAAATAAAAAAATAAATAAATTGGGAGTGTGAACTAACTATATCAGAAGAGAAAATAATTGACTTGTAAGGAACATCACGTTATTGTCGTTCGGCGATAAAAAAAGACTCAAGAAAAGTGTAAAATTGCAACACATTTTCACTCCAACCTCAAGGCCACGGAAATACACATTTGTTGAAAATGATAAATAGCGAGACCGTGACAATTATTGTGATGAGGTAATTGTTCCTGAAAAATTTTACGTGTATCCAGTTAGTCGGTCAAGTCGCCCGTTTTATCCTTCCAATAAATTATTCAAACTGATTTTTAAAGACAAAAAGGATGATGGAGACTGACAACTTTCCAGTCTATCGTAGTTATTATTGCCGTTATCAAAAGTGCGTGAGAAAATAATGCAGAAGATAGTAATGGGACGACGCTTTTGTTTTGACTCAGCATAGTTATTAGCTCATATTTAGCGGCTTTTTCATTTAGATCCACAGTTGAGGTGTTACAAAAACACCGAGTATCTGCATGATGTTTGTTGTTTCATGACAGAATAAAAAGACACATTCTAATTTACATAACAGGAGAATCGGGTTTTCAAGTAATTGACATGCATTATCTGCAAGTCCAAGCTTAATTTGCATATTTTATGGATTCTGTCTGATGCAAGAGAACATTCTACATTAAACAAATCACTGATTGGCAACTTTTAAAAGCTGCTCTGTTTAAAGAGAGATATGCATTCATGCATTTCATTAGAACCATGTGTACAGCTTTAGAAATCAAGTAGAAGGATTGTAAACTTAAGATGCTGTAAGTCTGCACAATCCAAGAAAAGTCCTTAACATACATCGTTGAATCATGCTTATGCCAACTGTCATCAACAGCTTCTGGAGTATTTGTATTAGCTGTTCTAGGAGAAACAGTATAAATGAGTGGACAATCTAAAACACATAAGGTTAGAGAAATTGCTGCTTTGGCTGATCTGGATCAATCCCAATGTGCCACATCTACAGCAGAACGCAGAGAGCTTTTCCAAACTGTTGAAAACAATTCAACCAATTTTGGGGGGAGGGGGATACACCTAAAGAGCCGTGAGAAAATTGCAAATTAAAGCCTGCACGTTTTAGAGAACGTCTACGAGAAGCTTGAGGAAATATTACCTGTAAAGAAGAAATACATTATTTGGAGCTTTTATGTGCGCTGAGGATCGTCTGAACAATCAATCACATAAGTCATGGTGCCTTCAAAACATTCGGACAATCCGTTTGGTTTGCCACCTCGACAAATCAAAACTAACCACAACTGGCTAGCTACGTTAGCCAAGTTGTGTAGCTAAACAGCTACCTTAACGATGGCGACTATTTTGGTCCACCCAGGACAATGTCGAAACACATGTCAAAATTAACCATTGTTAAGCGTGGACGTACGTGACAGCTTATCTTTACTTAGCTCCTTGTCGTTACAATGTTTCGAACAGCTAACGGATACTAGCCATAAATGACACAAGCTAACCAGCTAGCCACCGTTAGCTGAGGTCCGATCACGTACATTTTAAAGTTACTTACCATTCGCGTACATCTGCCCCGTCCCAGTCCCATTCTGAGAATTGAACCCCGCTGTTGACATCTTGAAACATACACCAGAATCTAATTTAGAGGCTCGTCTATAGCTAGCCGCTTAGCTGGGCGTCACGGGATTTAAACCTGAAGCTCCAACGATGAGCGTAAAAACGGCACCTAAAGTCAAATCTCCTTGTTTCTTCACAGTTGTTAATCAGGCACTTTGTTCGCTTATTACAGAGCCATGATTATTACCAAAAGCCCCGTTCAACTACCAACGAGTTGGTATCGATGGGCCTGGTCAGAGTAAAATCGTGTGAGGCGCTTCTCCCCTTTCACCGGAAGTTGGGATAACCCTGCAGGATCAACGTAAGAATTTTGGCACGCATGCGCAGTGTGTACACGTGGCATTTCCTCCGGTGCGCTGGATTTTTTCAGTGTACCAGAAACAAGAGGATGCTGCCAGCACAGATCTGTTATTTTATATTTTAAACGTGTTTTTTGTTAACATTTGCTCAGTCCAGGTTAAAAGCTATAATATCAGTAATTACATATTATAAAAGAACTGATAATTAGGTATTTGGAATAATTTTACTGCTTGAACATCAACCGTTTGAGTGACTTTTTCGAGTTGTTGTGTTTATTCACTTTTAATTAAATATGATACAATAATACAAACAGTACTTTTTTTAATGAGGTCGACCTAAATGTTCCTCACAGTGTGGCTTTGGCTGCAAAACAAAATGATGTTTTGGTTTCATCTCTCTTGCTCCCTCTAAAGATTAGATTCTGAGAGTTGGGTTTTGAGTTGAAGGAGCGGCTCTGTCGGAGCGATGAGTGTGGAACATAAACCGGAAGCGGCAGGGCAGAGTTTAGCGGAGTTCTCCGACAGCCATTGCAGTGTCGTGGCTCAGTAACAAAACACGAAAAGGGCTGGGGACGATCAGACAGCCGCTTTCCTCTTCTTGACCGAGATTAATTGATGTGACTGTTGGAACGAACGCACTCGGCGAATCAATCTACACCTGAACAACAAGTAGGTCTTTCACCACGTTTTCTCGGCCCTGTTCTAAGAGGGAATTCTGCGTTCGGCTTTTCAGCTCGCTACCCCCGGCTGCTAACGATGCTAACATTAGCATTGCTAACCAAGTTGGCTAAGTTGTGTAATTTGAACTTCCGTCGAACTGAGTATAAACTAGTCTTGGACGCTTATTGTGTGTACGCTAACAGCCTTGTTAATAAACTAATGGAAAAACACCACACCAGGACGGACCTCGACGTCTTTACTGCATCGACGAACTATTTTTCCTGCTAATTAGCTAGCGTAGCTAGCATAGATGCGACGTAGCCAGGAGAAATTGACACGTAGCTGGTTAGTTTCCTGTTAGCCAGTTTGATAGCCTGTGTAAATTTAATAAAATCGTTCACTTATCCGTGTCTACGAATGAAGCACTGTAAACAATTGGCTTGTATTACCACTGCGGACATGTTGACACACTGTCATATTTATTGAATGTCATCAATTCGTCCTATTTACATGTTGACAGACACTAATTTGGAACAAATGGTGGCCTAAAAATACATAAATGTCTTCACGTTTGTGCAGGTCAAAGGTGAAGATTGTAGCGTACAAATCTGTCTTTAGATTTAATTACTTCGCTGAAATTTTAACGATTTTTTTAATCGAATTTTAATGTCTCATCAGGGAAGTAATACAACTTCCACAAATCACAGAATTTAAGCCAGTGTAAACAATGGAGTAACACCATTTTTGGACTTCTGACAAAGCTGTCAGTACACTAGTTTTTTTTTAAATTAATCTTAACTAGGATCTTGAACATTTACTTGATTTGGTGTTTCTCTAGCATTTTGACCTACACAGAACCTCGTGGAAAGTACAAAACTGTCCCCATTAGATAAAGGGTTGCAGTAATTAGACAGAACAAGTATGCTTTATTCATATTGTCCCTGTAGTATTTATATTAATTTACAATAACTATGCATAGTCTAAAATGAAATAGTAATTTATTAAATCTTTTTTTAAAAATGGATCTTTATGAGATGCTTATGTATAAATATTATTCTCAAACTGTGAGTACATTATTATTAGTACTTGCAGTTTTTATCATTACGAAAGTGCTGAGGGAACAAAATGTCTTTACTAATGGAGAATAGTGTTAAAATCTAGTCAGCATATATTCTCAAAGGTGCAGCTAATGTCTGATTTCATTCATAACATATGCTTAAGTTGTGGCATGTTGAGCTCTGGAGACACTTAGACAAATTCTTTGTTTGCAACATGGAAATAAAGAAATCTGCCTTCTCCCACTTGTTGGTCATCACGCCACATGAAACCAGCTGACGTGTGGTGGCACTTTCAGTATTTGCCTGATCTTGACCTTTGTCTGCCTTAAACTTTAACCCTCAAGTTTGCATGTTACGTAAGTAAGACTAGAGGTTGACACCCAGCTTAGGTTATTCTGATGCCTCTAAATGAAATGAAAGGATGAGAAAGTAGGTTAAACTGGAAACAACTGGCTTGTCTTTTTGGGATGAAAATTTCTACTTAATTTTACAAAGAGATCCGTTTGCTTTGTCTGTGGGCTTTCTTTCTGTTATGTTTAGTCACTGCGACTGCCATAATTGTGCATTTATTGTTTTAAAAGGAGGCTAAAGAAATATTTTTGAACAAAGTAAGTATTTCTTTTTAGGCTAAAACAAGATATGTATAATCTGGAAGCTGTTGATTTGATGCTGTTATAAGAAATTCTTTCTTGGATACATTTTGTTTTTCTTGTAAAAATCAAAACTAAGGCTGCTTAATTTCAGGGTGAGAGGTTAAGCCAGTTGCTTGTGTGTTGGAACAACCTTTTTGCATCACGTTGCCTGCTAAGAAATTGCTAGTTGACCCACGATCAGGGTTCTGAAACTTATTTTCTGTTGCTATAAAAAAGCCAATCATTGGCTCTAGAAATTACTCATTCCTCTAATCATTCGTTGATAGTATCTGCTTGATGGGTTGAGGTTGGAAATATCTGAATTAGTTTGTGAACATAATCATCCAGGTTTGCTCTTCAGTTTTTATGTTTCTGTTACAAAAACAGTCAAGCAGCTTGTTCGCTCCTTGTTTTGTGCTGAAAAATGCATTTAACACCACAACTGATACTTGTTTCTCAATTCATTCTGTGTGAAGTAAAGCTAAGGCTTAGTGCACTGTAAAAACCCAAACATTACCCTTTATTTATCCAGGCAAACCCCACTGAGATCACATATCTAATTTGCAAGGGAGGCCTGGGCCTGAAGGCAGCCTAACTTGCGTGTTTTTACTGCGGGAGGAAACCGGAGTACCCGGAGAAAACCCACGCAAACACGAGGAGACCATAACTTCACACAGAAAGACTCCAGGTTTAAGCCAGGGCTTGGACCCAGGACCTTTCTTGCTGTGTGGCAACAGTGCTAACCACTAATCCATCATGCTGCCATAATAAAAAAAATATATAAAATGTAAAAATATATTAATTAAAAGATTACCGGTAATAACGTTTTTACTTATTAAGAAAAATGGAAAGGTAGCAGAATTCTCACACTCAGTGTAATGTGTTAACCTTTTGACAATTTGACTAAAGCTTTCTATTTTTTATTCCTCACATTTTGTTTGGATTGTTTTCTCACTGTTTGATGTGTCTTGCTTTTTTTTTTTTTTTGTCTTTCAGAATTGAAAAGCTCCGGATATGTCCTTCCTATTTGATTGGATTTATAGCGGTTTCAATAGCGTACTACAGTTTTTAGGTGAGTGCTGATTATCTTCTGACACATGAATTTACATTAAATCGAAATTAGGGTTAGGGCTAGAATTTCAGTCTAATTCTTATGAAATGTTTATTTATTGGACCGACACATGCAACTTATATTGTAAAATGGCTACATTCACCAATTTTACATATAAACACACTGAATGTGTGCGACGAATATATTTCTTAAAGACAAATGTATATATTTTTTAAAATCTTTTCGGCTTTGTGTGGTGGCTGTGTCCATTTGAGAGCTGAAGGGAAATATTTTAATGTGTGTCAGATGGTCTTCTCTCGAGTGCTCTGTTCTAGTTTGAGTGAGCCGCATGCCAGAGCGGTTCCTGTTCTCCCAGTTTGACAGGTTACATCGGGGCTGCTTTGAGTAATGACAAGGTTCAATAGAGCTGACTCGATCAGAAATTTTACAAATCTTCAGGGTATCGCTGTGCTGCTGAATCAGACTGTTAAACACAGACCTCATCAAGGAGTGGCTGAATATTGTACTTCTTATCCTACGTTAAAGTAATCCACACGTTACCTTGAGATGAGTGTCAATAAACCCATTTTCTTACATGAACTCCAGCAACACACAGATCAGGTTTCATATTGATACATCTGCAACAGTAAAGCTACAAATCACATCAAGATGTGCACAAGTCCTTAAGAACTTTCACAAATGTTTTGTTCATTGAATGAGACTTGGCTGAAATCGTCTTTATTGCACCTCGTTCAACACTTCCAGACATTTGCTTTCTCACATGTATCTCCTCAGAGTAATGTTTAGAAAACGGAAAGGCAGCAGTGTCTGAAAATAGTGAATAATAAAAAAAAAGTTTTATTGCTAGCTAAAACAGTAGATGAGCCAAAAAGGTTTTCTAGTGATTTTTCTAATCCAGGTGTAATTTCTCTGCAGAATCACACAGCTATTTTTACTTTTCACAGTAGAGAATGGCAAAACATAATTTTAGTGAGGCTGTGTTCACGTTTTGTATCTCTAATTTAATAATTATTGCAACAAAACAGAGAATGGATTAATAAAATAAAAGACCTAGCATTCTTGGATGGAATTTTTATCACTTGCTGCTTTTCATGTCAGCATATTAAACCTATAATAATCCCTCTGATGAAAAGACTGTGCTATGGCAATTTGTAAATGATCTTATGCACAATCTCTTGTGAGATTTCGCTAGATGTTGGTGCTCAAGATTATGTGTTGAAGATGATGCTCAGCAACTACTGCACTGAATTTTAGCCCATTGTTTATAACTTGTGTCTGAAAGGCTGTTGTGTTTTATTTTAGGACTGTACAAGAAATCCGGCAAGTTAGTATTTCTTGGCTTGGACAATGCTGGCAAAACGACACTACTGCACATGCTCAAAGATGACAGATTGGGACAGCATGTGCCAACTCTACACCCAAGTGAGTTGCTGCTGCTTTGTCACACATGAAATCCTTTTCATGCAGAGATTCATGCAGATTGTTGTGAATATGAATTTTTAAGTACAATCTGCAAAATTAAGTAAAGCTTTCATTTGTGCTCCGTGTCTGAATTCTGTCCTGCAGCGTCAGAAGAGCTGACCATCGCTGGCATGACTTTTACCACTTTTGACCTCGGAGGACACGCACAAGGTTTGTGTTCTTTTGTTTCAGTTTGATTATTCTATGATTTTATATGGTTTTAATATTTGAGTTTTCTAACATGAATTGACGAGTCGAGGTGTTGATCATCATTTGGGTTTATGCTGCAGCCCGCAGAGTGTGGAAAAACTACCTCCCTGCCATTAATGGTATCGTCTTCCTCGTGGATTGTGCAGACCATCTGAGACTGGGTGAATCAAAAGCAGAGCTTGATGTAAGTAATTGCTTCCTCCTTTTTTTTATTAAAATAAAACTGTTCACCCTCACAACTTCACGTAAAATGATGGTTGGTTTTAATGCTGGAGTGCTGCATTCAAACTAGCATGGTGCAATAAAATGTGTCAGTTGAAACTTGTCTACAGTAAAGCCTGCGGCCGTCACATCACATTAAACACCTCTGTGATGGTGTAAAAGTTGTGCACAGCTCAGGCAGTTCGTCCTGAGACTGAAATATACGACTTAAGACGTTACCTGGACTCTAAAAGACAATAAAGAAATGTCCTCTGTTACATTTGCTTGGTACTTGAATTGGTGACATTATTAGTGAATTACTTGTCTCATGGTAGTTAAAAAAATCTCATGAAAATCACATGCTGTATGGAAATAAAATATTGTTGACATCAAACAGACACCACTTTGTGTTTTGAGTTTCCCTGAACGTAATCAATCCTTACCTTTTTATAGGGACAACAATTAATTCTGCTTTTCTCATACTCTGTTTTATCAAACCATCAACTTATTATTGTCATTAATATTTGTTCTTCATCTTCCTAGGCATTAATGACAGATGAGACCATCGGAAATGTGCCTATCTTAATCCTGGGCAACAAAATCGACAGGCAAGAAGCCGTAAGTGAGGAGAGGCTGAGGGAAATGTTTGGATTGTACGGACAGACGACAGGAAAGGTGAGTACACAAAATTGTGGATAGTAGAAATAGAAATGTAAGAAAAATGAGAGAATTTTGTTATCGCTCGAAAGGCTTGCCTGGACAGTAATGTTTTAGCTCGTGTGTGTGTGTCCGCCACCAAAATATCTCAACGAACTGGATGGATTTTAATGAAACTTCCAGAAAGTCTTTAAAGGCTGTACATCTACAACCGTCCGCAACATCCACCTGATCATCAAAAGCACAACAATGGCTATAACTGTCGTTTTTATTTTTAACAAATGTTGAGCTAAAATGTGACGTGGGACAGCTGAGAGGTGTTCGGACCACATACTCTGAGCATAACATTTCACAATATCCCATAAAGTTTGCACGTTATTTTTGAGGTTTGACCAACTTGCTGACTTCATATGAGGGTGGTCAGTAGACATGGATTCAGTAAATGCTCTGCTGGACCATCTCACAGTTTAAAATCAACAGTCTTTGTTGAAAATACATATGTTTTTATATTTTTGTTGAAGACTGTCCTGCAAAGCACAGTACAGTAGTCACTCGTTTATCACGGGGGTTATGTCCCCCCCCCCCCCCCCCCCGCAATAAGTGAAATTCTGTGAAGTAGGGATGTTATATTTATTTTAGTATTTATATATATATTTTAAGGCTTTATAAACCCTTCCCACACTCTTGCAATGTTCTAAACTCTTAAACCTTCTTCATTTTAACAACATGCATATATGTACTGTACAGTACTGCAAAATTTTACTCACCAGCTCTGCAGAACACAGTGGCTCGGTTCCGGTCTGGCTCAGTTCCGGTTTGGCAGAGCTACCCTGCCGGTTCTGGTCCGGTTCTGGTTGGCTCTCTGCAACCCTTGAGCACCAAAAAGCTTTTGGAGGGATCCGTACCTTTGGATGGCCAGCTCGAGTCCAACTCAGGCTTCTGGGTGGGGCACTGTTGGCTTCTGGCAATTGTAGTCCTTTTGAGTGGCGATACAGAGTAGGCTTATTGAGAGAAAACTACAAAATGGCAGCGCCTGTCCAAAGTATTTTTTTTTCATTAACTTTTTACTGTACAGCATCCCGTACTGTCCCAATCACATGAGTAATATTAAAGTTGACGATCGTGTGTCGTGTACAATCTTACTTTGAAAATCCCCGAAAGAGCGAGTCCACAAAAGTCGAACCGCAAAGTAGCGAGGGACTACTGTAAAAAGATTTTGTTTTACATTTTCCTAAAAAGGATAATTTTGTGTAACATTCTCTTTGCCTTTCCCCCCCCTCAGGGAAACATTCCCATAAAGGAGCTGAACACGAGACCGCTGGAGGTGTTCATGTGCAGTGTGTTGAAGAGGCAGGGCTACGGCGAGGGCTTCCGCTGGCTGTCCCAGTACATCGACTAAAGAGGCCAAGCCCCCACGATAACACCGCCATCGCCACCACCACCGTTGAGAGGGGGGGCGCCAAATCCAACCACTCAAAGACGCGCCCCCCGTTTCCACCAGTACCATCATAGTTAGCCCCCACGTTCAGTTAATCAAGTTTGCCTCCGTCTTCAGAGAAACCAGTACAACTCGATCCCAATAGACTTTTATTGGTCGAACATTTGGTTCCGCACTTCCAGCATTCGTACATCAAGGCTCACCGTCACATTTGTTGTCCTCTTTCTTTTGTAAGAGCGTAACGTAGCTTCGGCTCCACAGCAAAGTGTGTTCACATGCAAACGGATGAATCTTTTCTATATGGTGTCTGTCGTCGTCTTCACTCTGTCCCTCCCTTCCTGCCATCTCGAGTGTAATGATAGATGCATCATAAATGTAAATCTGTACATGATTTCATCGATTTATCAGCAAGCCCCTTCACTCCCTCTACAACTCATCTGAAGCGAATGAAAGCGAGCAGCAGCATAGTTGTATACATCGCAGTACCTTTTTTTTTTTTTAACAGTAAAAAAATTCATCCAACATTATATTTAATCGCTGTTTTGATTTGTCCTTTTTTTTTAAACTTCTGTCTTTAACATGGTTTCAGTAAATTAAAGATGAGGTCATGTATACAGCTAAAAATCTATGAAGCTGTTCCATTTCTAAGAACGGTGTAGTTGTGTGTCATAAATTAGATCCATATCTTTTGTATAAATTAATATACTCTTGTCCCAGGCTTCTGTCTGGTAGGCAGAGTAGCTCTGACTGGATCCAAGCCGTCAGTGGGCTCCCTTTTTAAACAGAAGCACGGGGGGTGAGGAGTTATTTTTATTTTTTGTTTTTTAATAGGAAACAATACCGGCTTATAACTCAAATGTAGATAGCACAACGATCAGCTGATGCAAAGACTTGTGTTTAAAATAAATAAAACTTTGCAATTAATGACCTGATCATGATCGCCCTGTAAACGATGAGAGGAGTAAATGGACAGACGTGAAATCGATATTAGAACAGCTCAGATCCTTTGATCGTCTAGTGACCAAGTGGAAATGGAGGACACAGTCCCACAGTGGGGACAGGTAGCTAACACAACTTCAGGAAAGGGACCATGTGTATGAAATGTACATGAACACCGTACATGGATCTTTGTATTTATAAATGGTATCCTTTGATCTATGTGCATTACCGAGAACTATTATGCATGCCTTGTTTAGATTTTTTTAAGACCATTATTACTCTACAGGGGGGAACATGCCAAAATCTACAAGAAATGATTGTCGTGTATTGTTTTTTTTTTTTAAAGGAAACAATAGCATTACGCATAATATACTGTTTCTGTCCCTTTGTGTCTCTTCTCATTCCCTCATGACTAATGAGCTGTTCCAACATGGATGGGACTTGCTGTTGTTTGCATCATTAAAAAAAATGTAATAAATGTTTGCAATGAATACCAGGCTTTAACACTGATCCTCATTGCAGACAAGTCAGAAGTTTCCAGCTTTGTGAGATCTTGTGGGGGACAGAGCGTCACTGATGGTTCTGAGTGCATGACAGATGCCCAAACAGCAAGGGGAGCTTAGGAATGTCTTAAATGGAAATTTCACTTCAAAGTCCAGTAAATTATCTTTTAACATAAAAGAAAACCAGAAAATAAAACGCATTTTGTGTCTTAATACTTTGTCCAAAAAAATAGCTTAAATGTTAACGTTTATTGAAAACGACCGTGAAGTGTTTTTAATTATACCCCATCAGAATAAATTGATTCCCTATCAGATGTAGCTATGAACATGGCTGGTGTGTAATTTATGATCTAAAATATGACACGTTTGAGATCCTACACTTCCAGATTGTTTTAACATTTCATGCCTAAATATGTGGTTGCTTTTAACACGTATTCCTGTAAAACCTGATCACTAAAACGTTGAAATAATGCAGCTCCCCATCTTACAAATCGTGCACATGGAGAAGAAATACGACAGTATCTGAAAACTACAACTATAAATTCCTGTTTGCTGAATTAAATCTTATTTACCTTCCACTTCTGGGTGAAAGAAATATATAGTCTTTATTTTTTATTTCAGTACCTGAAAACACCTGCATTACACTGGGATTACATAACGGATAACTGGGATTATGTAACTTTAACAGAAGCAGTGCAGGAAACTCCCACTAGGTGGCGCACAGTTATAGCAACAACTAAATCCTGTTCAGTATGAATAGATTTGATCAAATTAGAGGAAGGCTAAGAAGGTATATTTATTCTTAAATCACATACAAGTTGAGTGTCTCTCTGTCTGAATGGATCGTGGTGATTTTATCGGACTACACAGGATTAGGAGGAGCACTTTGAACTAAACCCAACTCAGCAGAAACACAGCTTTGTTAATGCAATAAGTACAGTAATAAGAGTTTGTGGTGCTCACAATGTGAATCTTTCTGGACAGGAAGTCATCTTGCTTTATGAAAGGAGCAGATTACTTTTAATTAAAATCTTGTTTGTCCATAGAAACCCACAGTTCTTTCCGTGCACCATAACCAAGGCTTTGGACTGTTCCAAACTCCTCAGATTTACTTCCCTAAATAATTTTTACTTGCCGTCATGAAGGGCATTGATGGTAATGTTTTCCAGTTTTGATTTTCAATTATTTGTTCTGTATATTTTTGTACTACTTCTGAATACTTTGCGTATTTAGCTATTCATATATGAAAATGTTCACCTCATTCCGGTGATGGATGCTGTAACTTTGGGTGTAACTTTTTGAAACATTTCAAAAAAAAATATTGAACTTTCTATACAGTTATTTACCTCGTAGAAATACATGAATGGAATTCATAAAACGCTTCTGTTTGAAAAGTCAACAAACTTTTTTTGTCACTTTTGCTACTTTTAGCGTATTGTTGGTGTTTTTATTTTTGCTCGCGTTCTGCTTCTTTTAGCTTTAACACCATAGTTTCATCTTCTTCAGTAAAGTTTTCAACTCTCAGCATCACGTTGCATTGTCCCAAACAATGCAGTGCCTGTATTTTATATACAGAATCTATTACGAAGCCATTAAAATAGTTGAGTTAAAGACAAACAATCTTCTTTTCCCTATTAAGGGGTCAACACATCCTCCTCCATCTCACTCTGTCCTCCCTCCAGCTACCTCCATGTCCTCTCTAACTGCATCCATACATCTCCTCTTTGTCTTTTTCCTGGCAGCTGCATTTTTAACATCCTTCTACCAGTATACCCACTGTCCCTGCTCTGGACATGTCTAAACCATCTCAGTCTGGTCTCTCTAACTTTATCTCCCAGTTGTTCAATCTGTGCTGTACCTCTGATGATCTCATTCCTAATCTTAATCATCCTTGTCACTCCTAAGGAGAACCTCATCATCTTCATTTCGGCCACTTCCTGTTCTTTCTCATGTATACACAGTTTATGGGTCATTGGTTCAGTCAGAATATGACATTTAGAGCCAGCAGCAGACTCCTACAACTGATGCTGCTGCTTTTGGTTGGACTGAGTCAAAAGCTGCAACACTTAAACCTACAATCCAAAAAAAAAGGTCAATCTGGTCCTCTGGACATTAAAAAAAAAATAAATTTTGAATGTCCAGAGGACCAGATTGAACTTTTTTTGATTTTTCTACCTGGATTATTGAGCAGCATCAAGTTAAACCTACAATGTTTTTCAAAAAAATCATGAACACGTGTCTGTGGAAATGTAAGTTTTAAGAATATACAGTTTATTTTATGGGATAGCACTTAAAAATAGCACAAAACAACAATAAAAATAAAGATAAAATTTTATGCAAAGAAATTACACAAACAACAATATATATTCAGCCATAAAATTAAGAGAGACAGAGCTGGAGCAGTTTGGTTCTAAAGGAAGCGCGCTCAACTGAAAGAGTAAAAACATGGCGGGTGTCACACTCTTTATGGACAACAAGCTAGGTGAAGATAAAAACTTCATTAAGAGTACTTGACCTCCACTTCTAAACTCAGATATGTGTAAAAATAAATACAATGACAAATATAGATGTTTGAAGCAATTAAATAAGGTGAAGAAACACGAAGCTACACGCTTCAAAGAGTTAGCTTAGCATTAGCTTAGCTAACATTAGCATGGACGCTAGCATGCTAAATGCCATGGATTGAAAAAGAAGCTGGGTGAGTTAATAATTTTATTTCTAACCCCTTTTTGGTATTTTTTTAAAGTTTTTTTTTTTTTTTTTTTTTTTTTTTTTTTTTTTTTTTTGGTTAAAAGTCACACTACTGTGTGGTGCTTCAGCATTTTGGCTGCTTGTGTGGAATCATGAATATTAAAACAAAAAGTGTATTTTGTGTGAATTAAAAACACGCTAAGTGTTTTTCTCAAGACTTTAGATGAGGTTAAAAGGAGCTGTAAGTGTGGACTGTTTGTGGTGGAAAGAAAGATGACTGTTATGCATTAGTTAGCTGTCAAGTATGTTATTGTGAGGAATTGTGTGAACTTAAAAGAAATAACAAATAGCTGGAAAAATAACTTTGTGACGGTTTGTTTAAAACACCTTATTAAAAATTGTGGTTTCGGTGAAATAATTTAGTGGCTGGGTCGGATGGTGGATCAAGACATTTAGGACGTAAACTTGTACACATTTTTCTTGCATATGAGACATAAAACTGTGGCTTTGTGGTGTAAGTTTAGTTGATTTTGTATTTCACCAACTATTGTAATTCAGAACAAACCAGAAACACAACTGGCTGCTCAGCTGTGATGTAAACTCTGCTAATTAATATTTACTTATTGTGTGAAACTTTTGAGATCCATTTTTCTTCCGTACAGTATTCAGCATCTTTCTCGGTCCCCACTTTTTGTGCTATTTCAACAAATCATATATCCAGATGTTCAGAACTTTCAGGACAATCCTGTGACTTTTGGTGCGACTTTAGCTTTTTGAAATATTTAGCCTTTTCTGCCATTTTTTTTCTCATAGAAAATGAATTGAGCTCATTTTACATCCTTCAAAAATCTGTTCACAATCTTTTACTGTTCCTTTCACATTTTGTTCTGGTTCAGCTTCTTTCAGCTTCCTTGTGCAAATTTAAATATATATTTTTTGCTATTTTTAGCTGTTTTGGGCTCCTTTCAGTTCTTTCTGCTAACTACAACATTTCTGTGCTTCTTCGAACTTCCTTCTGCTATTTCAGCTACTATTTAGCAGTTTTATACTAATTTCAGCATATTTTTTTTCAGCAAAACAAGTCCTCTCTGCACTTCCTTCCAGTAATTTAAGCTTCTTTTGGTTGTAAGCTACTTTTCAGCAGTTTTTTTTAGTCTAATTTCAGTTTTTTTCCCCCAGATAATTGCCAAAATAATTATTTCTGCTAATTTCAGCTTGTTATGGTCCCTTTAGTTTTTTTTTCTGCTAGTTTCAGCTTTGTCTGCTATTTCAGCTACCATTTAGCTCTTTTTGTGCTAATTATAGCTTTTTCAGCTAATTCCACTTTTTTTTTTTAGCTCATTTCAGCTCCGTCCACTTCAAAGTCAAAGTTTCTTTATTTGTCATATGTGGTACATGTGGTGGAACAAAATTGTCTTAACTACCTGGTAGTTTATGCTTGTTTCCGCCATTTCGACTACTTTTGAGCTGTTTCAGCTAATTTCAGCCTTTTAGCTAATTTCCAATTTTTTTGGCTCATCTCTGCATATTTAAATGTAATTCAGCAAATATGTTTTTTTTTCCTGCTTTCTTCTGCTAACTTAGGCTTGTTTTCCCATTTCAGCTATACATTCCAGGACGTTTTTATTTATTTATTATTATCTCAGCTGTTTTTCAGCAAGTCCTTCAGCAATTACCATTCACACTAGATTTTCGCAGGAATGCACTTTCTCTAATTAGTATTTATTTTGCATCAAGTGGAGAAATTGTGCAGTGAATCATATTTATAACTGGCACTGTGCACCTTTTTTTGTAGCATTGTTTTATTAAAAACCACCAAGAAAACATATTTTTATGATCAGAGTGACCAAAGCAGAACTTAATAGTGTAATCTTGTAAAGTTTTAGTTTAAAACATACTGATGTTAAATGATGTTGAAGCAGAACATCTGCCCCCTGACAAAGCAAACTTGATTTATGAATATTAAAGTCAGATCGTTTTCCAAAATGCAGCATATTTTGTTTAATGAAATAAAGATTCCTCAAAAAGATTCAGCTGAGAAATAAAGAAAATAATACCTAAAGACTCTACGTTTCAAGTAAATTATGTAACTTATTGCTTGGAAAGATACAATCTCAACTGTAGACTTGATTACACAACAAAATATCGAATGTATTTGCAATAATTAGACTTGAAGACTTCTGGATTAGTTTTTTTTTTAGAGCAGAGGGGACAAACAACCATCTCGACTCTTGGATCAGTGCAGGATTAGAGGGAAGTCAGAGAAGTTTTGAGCTCAAAACAGCGTATTTTACAGA